CCTGCCGGGACGGCCCCGGCCCCCGCTCCCGCTCGCTGCTCCGGAGCGGCGGCCGGCTCCGCGCTCGCACCGCCCGTGCGGGAAGCGGGCCGGGGCGGGGGTCGGGCTGCGCCTGTTGCACGGCCCTTGGCGGGGCTGTTTGTGAGCGCCTGTCGCTATCTGCGGCCAGGGACCCCGGCGGTGCCCTATCTGGGACTCTCTGCTGGTGGCTGATAGCGGCTGCTCCCTGCTTCGTTGCACGTCCCTCGCAAGCTCCCGCCGGGGCTCTCTCCCCTTTTGTCTTGTGTATTTTTAGGTCATTAGAGTGGAGGGGTAGGTAATCCCCAGGCTCAAGTTCCAGAGGGGCGGGTTCTGGCCGGAGGTGGAGTCACTTTTCATTTAAATCCCTGACTATAAAATGGGCTTAAAGAGAAGCGGGATCTCAGCTGTGCTGCACAGACCCCGGCAAGCAGGGTGCGGGGGGGCCCCCGGGCAGGCAGCGCCCTGCAGCACCAGCCGCTGCGATGCTCCACTCCCTTGGCGTTCACACCTTGCAGCTGCTCACCCAGGCGGCCGCCTGCATCCTCCTTTTCCCCCGCTTCCTGCTCACCGCCGTGATGCTCTGGCTCCTGGATTTTCTGTGCATTCGGAAGAAGATGCTGATGATGCCCACGGCGGAGGAGGCGGCCAGCGCCGGCGAGGGGCCGCCCCCCGACGACCCCCCGGTCTGCGTCTCCGACTCCAACCGCATGTTCACGCTGGAGTCGCTGAAAGCCGTGTGGCACGGCCAGAAGCTGGACTTCTTCAAGTCGGCGCACGTGGGCTCCTTGGCCCCCAACCCCGAGGTGATCCAGCTGGACGGGGAGAAGAGGCTCCGCATCCTGGACTTCGCCCGCGGCAAGAGACCCCTCATCCTCAACTTCGGCAGCTGCACCTGACCCCCGTTCATGGCCCGCCTGAGGTCCTTCCAGCGCCTGGCCGCGCACTTCGTGGACATTGCCGACTTCCTGCTGGTCTACATCGAAGAAGCACACCCCTCCGACGGCTGGGTCAGCTCGGACGCAGCCTACAACATCCCCAAGCACCAGTGCCTCCAGGACAGGCTGCGGGCAGCTCAGCTGATGAGGGAAGGGGCGCCCGATTGCCCCCTGGCCGTGGACACCATGGACAATGCTTCCAGCGCCGCCTACGGCGCCTACTTCGAGAGGCTCTACATCATCCAGGAGGAGAAGGTGATGTACCAGGGAGGCAGAGGACCAGAGGGCTACAAGATCTCGGAGCTGAGGAGCTGGCTAGACCAGTACAAAACCCGGCTCCAGAGCCCCAGCACGGTGGTCATCCAAGTGTAAAAAGGACCTGGCAAGAAGCGCAGGGGTGGAGAGGCGAGGGGAGGGCGGGAGGAGAGAGAGGTGGGGAGGGAGAAGCGCCGCGGATGGCAGGAGCTGTCTTCCCCCGGGGACACTCGAAGGAGGCTGCTGTGCGAGCTTTCGAGCAAGATGTGCCATAGTCCTTTCTCTATTCAAATCATGTTGATTTGCCAGCCACGCTCTGTCAATACTGTATTTCCATGTGCGTTTTGTAAATAACCCTCTCTTTTTTTTTTTTCCTTCCCTTTTTTTTTTTTTTTTCTTTTGAGAAGCGTTTACTATTTTTTAAGGAGGCTCTCTTCCTACGGGATCTGTTCCCAGCTGCGTGTGTGCGCGGGTGTGTGTCTGAAAAGTTGTGTACAAGTGCTCCGTGCTGCCTAGCAAGTGCTAACTGGGATTTCTAGTATTTCTTTGTGATGACCGATTTTGAAATGGGTTTCTTTAATGCCAGGAAATCGCGTCTGATGTTGTCAAGTACTAGAACTGCCAATAGCCAGAGCTGAACGGAATGTCCTATTTATGTGGGGGGGGTTTTGTAAGACGTTCGTTCACCTTTTTTTTTTTTTTTATGAATTTTTTTAAAATAATAAAGGTTGAGTAAATACACGTCTAACCTTGACTGCCTCTCTCTCTATCTTCAGACCGCTTACGTTCACTTTCCCTTTCCGCCTACCTCGCAATACCCTCCCCGCAGCCGCGGAGGGGAGGGCGAAAGCGGCGGGAGGGAGAGGATGCGCTGCCGGGGGCTGGGGGGCGGCGAGGAGCCCTCTCGCTCGGCTGCACCGAAGGAGAAGGGGGAGAGGGAGGGTGGCACTGGGCGTCCCCAGGGGGAAATCCAAAGCTCCGGGGCTCCCGGGGAAGGGAGGGCTTCGGTGGCCCTCGGGGCCGGACGGGAGGACGGTGCGCTGCCCCTCTGACCCCGGCCACCCACGCCCCGGGGCATAGCCCCGGGAGGGCGAAGGTGCAGGGCTGGCCGGCGCCGTGCAGGCAAGCGAACCCCGGCCAAAAAAACAGGCGAGGGAAAGCCGTCCTGCCCGGGAGAGCCGCCTCGCCCGGGACGCCCCGTCGCTGCCGCCCCGTCGGTGCGGGAGCTGGTGCCCGGCCGGGGACGGCGCGACCCGCACCTGAGGCGAGGCGGGGCCGGTCCCGCCGGGAGAAGGGCTGCGAGGCTCGGGCAGCGCCCAGCCCGGGGGTGCGGGGTTCACCCCGCAACTCCCCCGGGGCCCGGCAGCTGGGTGCGGGGTGCCGGAGATCGCTCCCCGGGAGCCCGACAGGTGAAGTCGAGCGTGGAGAGCATCCCGCAACCCCCGCAGGAGCCGTGCGAAGCCGCCCAGAAAGCGCGGGTCTTTAAGCACCGCCCGTCGTGGCTCTGAACGCCTCCTTGTCCTTGACAGGAGCGGGACGAGTCGCCCGCGCTGCTCAGCCCCTACATTTTGGGGAGGGATGCCCCGCCCGGAGGTAAAGCAAGCCGGGGACGCCGCTCCCCGCAACTGGGGGACCCAGTCGCCCCCGCAGGACTGAGCTAAACCCGCAGAGGGCTGTTTGCAAGGGCGTGATAGCCCCTGTCTTGTCCATGACAATGTTCCTCTGTCCCCGCAACGCCCCTGTCCCTCAACGTTCCCGGTTTAGATCATCCCGTGTACTCACTCCCGCCGCTAACACACACACACACCCCAAGACGAGCAGCCCCGGGGGGTCTCTCGCAGCTCAATCGGCGGCTCCGACCCCGCTCCTCGGTCCCCTTCCCCCCCGCAGCCCCTGCCCCTCAGCGGGAGCGGCGGGACCCGTAAATGGGGCCGCGTCGGCTGAGGTGTCAAAAGATCCGGGCTCAGGTGCCCGCTTTGGGCTCCCCGACCCGTCCGGCCACGCAGCCTGCTCTGCCGGCCCCTAAAACCCTTCAGCTCTTCCCCTGCCCCCATGCCTGGACGCCCGCCCGCTCTCCCGCAGCACCGGAGTCGGGGGCCGCACCGGCTCCGCCCAGCTCGGGCACCTCCGGTGATGGCGGGGCGGCGGGACGGGAGCCCGAGATGGGCTCGCTTCTCCCGGCTGGGGGGCACTGAGCACAGAGCCCTCGACGAAGCCCCCCCGAGAGGTTGGGGAACCTCCGCCACATCAATCCCCCCGCTCCTCCCGGCCCGGGCAGCGCCCACCGGGCGGGGAGGGGGGGTCTCTGTGCCTGAGCCCCTTCCAGCCGCCCTCCGCGTCTCCCGTCGGGGGCGTGGGTGCATCAGCCTCGCCCCCTCCCCTCCCCGAGGGACGAACGGGCGCTTTTCCCCGGTCCCAAACTCCCCGAGCATCAGCCAAACCCGGCCAAGGACGGCGACGCCCCGCTCCCCTCGCACGTTGTTCCCGACATGGAAGGAAGGAACAAAAGTCAGGTTGGCACATGCAGAGGGAGGGGAGAGGAGGGGAGGCAGGCAAAAGTCAGGTTGGCACACGCAGAGGGAGGGGAGAGGAGGGGAGGCAGGCGCCCACCCCGGGCTCCAGAGGCCAGGTGAAGGTGCTTTGCTCCTCCGGCAGAGCCGGCCGGGGCAGCACATCACCCCGCTGCCCCCCCGCCCCCAGCGCAGCCCCACGCGTGGTACCCAAACCTAGAGGAGCTCTCGAAAACCAGTGTTTCTCGTAGGAGGCCACCCAAGAGGACTTTCTCACGCAGCCTCAGGGGGCAGGGCGGTGGGTACCGACCCCCGGTGCCGCCCCGCCGAACGGGTACCGGCCCGGGAGCGGGGGGGAGGGGGAGAAGCCCCAGGCGGAGCCGGTCGGTGGGTAGCGCTGAACTCGGCTCCCGGAGGCGTGTGAAGGCCGGAGCTGATGCCCGGAGCACCAGCACCCACCCGGTTCCTCGGGGTGCCAGAGGCCGTGCGGCTCCGTGCCCACCGGGTGAGCCGAGGTTGCCTCTATCTACGAGATTGCCCTTTTTTTTTTTTTTTTTCTCTTCCTCTGCATCCTGTGTCTCTCAACGTTGAAGTCCCTTTTTTTTTTTTTTTTTCGCCCCCCCCAGCTTAGTTTTCTTTACTTTGCAACAAAGCCCTTCTTTGCTTTCTCACCTCCTTATCTCTTTCTTATCCCCCCTTGGCATGCTGGAGTTGTAATTCGAAGTTACGGGCACGTCCCCACCCCCGGGACATTTTCCGGTCATAGGGACAGAAATGGTCACTGTCCTTACCCGGGTTTTAATAGTTACAGAAACAGCCTCGTCTTTACTTGCTGCTACTAGGAGATTTTGGTCAAAGGCTATCGGGAGGTCAGGATTTTTATATTCTTTTTCCTAAATAAGTCAGGTTTCTGAAGCTACATTCCTCCTTAAAACCGAACACAGAGCTCTTATTTATCACTTTCTCTTTAATCAGCAGCAGAAGAAAAAAATTTGCTGTGAATGCCCGGAATCCCTGAAAGAGATCACACTTTTCCTTTGCACAACTCAAAGTTATCTGCTCCTATTATACCCTCCACTTAAAATGAATCACAAGCCTCCATCCCACTGAGCTTCCTCGGGGACACTTGTTTAGCACAGAGGAGAAGGAGACGCGTCACCTCTTGAAGAGCCCAGGGTGGCAGAAGCCCCTCCGGCTGACACAGAGTACGCAGAAAACGTCCTGTCTTTAAATACTCATTTTTACTGCCTTTCCACCCCCTTAGCGCATGACAAACAGAAGTCAGAGAGCAGCGCAGAGATTTATCAGAGAGCGATCTGAGTGGTGATTACGTGTTCTGTCAATAATTAATTGAATTATGTCCTCAGCGTAATTACATACAGTCCTCTAGCCGGGAGGGGAAAAGAAAGAAGGAAGTTGTGGTGTGGTCGAAGGGGGATCTCAGGACATGGTTCCAGTAATTAAAAATGTGATGTAATGTTGCAATCTGGTGTATTCTGAGGCACAAATGGGGAAACACAAACGAAACCAACTACTAAAATATTATTTTCTCTACAGCATGGAGACAGCCAAAGCACTTGCTTTCATTTCTTGTTTTCATTACTACTTTCTGCTGGAGATTTAAAGGTGTTTTACAATGAACAGACCAGAGGTCTTACTCACTTGATCTATAAGTTTTATGTTGTAGGTTTGGCATTGTTCACCACATAGTAACTGACTAAATTTGATGTCTCTGATGCTTGAAATAAAAATTAAAATCAGTCCAGCAAAGCATGATATATCCAATACAAATCTAGAAACAACACATTCAAAGAATCTTGCAAGCGAATTCTTACTCTGACACTAATTTTTCTGTACTTCTTCCAGTCATAAGTGAGATCGTCATATCATTATTAATTTATTATTTACTAAGAGCTGTTAGAGTGCTCTTTTGGTACACAAATGCAAGAAAACAAAGGGCTTGATTCAGTTCTCGCACAAGTTTTCCACTGGTGTAACTTCAATGACACGGGTGTAGTCACTTCAGAACCACCTGGGTGTAATTATGATCAAAATCTGGGCTATTGCACTTCCTTTGCTTTTCTAATGGTTCAAAACCTCTATTTTTTTCCACAGCATGCTGCGGAAGACAGACAGCTGTTTGAACACAGAGCTCAAAAATCATTCTCAAGTTCCTCCTCACTGCCAGTGCCAGTGTCCTAAACCCTGCCAGAACCCAGTCAACGCCAGCACTTCTCCTCACTGTTCTGCACCCTCCCTACAGCCCCAGAGCCGTAAACCCCATCGATACACGTCCCCTTCCACCAGTTAAGGCACATCCTCTCAGTGTCTTGAGCTTCAGATCAGGTAGCTTTTCATTTGGAACACTTTTAAGCATCCAGCTGCCAACAGGAATTTGACACCTGCTTCCTTCTTTGCAAATTTCCCTTTTCAGACAAATTCTTGATGATGCCTCTCGAAAAGGGGTTCATTTATGACCTCCGCTTAATTGACTACTCCATGCATTTCTCATCTTCTTGGCCTTCCACCTGCTTCTTCAGAGATTTTGGAAGTGGTTTACAGTGGTAAATGGGCTAACAATCAACAGCCAAAAGCATCCTAACTAGAACAGTAAGCGCTATTCTATCCTTCCTGTGTGAAAATCCATTACTAGACAAGGTTAAAATCCTTAAGCCAATGTTTTGTATAAGAATTCTTCTCAGGGTATAATGCTTATGCTCACAAAAGTAAGGATCCCCCAGCCTGGTCCAAGGAGTTCCTGTGCCTGTCGAACAGAGAAGATCAGGCCTATCTGATTTTTTCTGTCTCTTTTCCAAGTTAATAGGTCCTTCTTGACTTTGCTCATGGAAGCATTTGTTTCCATTTCCTTCTAAGTAATAAATATCTTCCACCTTGAAAGGACCTTTAGGACATAGCCAGATGGGGTAAGGTAGTTCAGCCTCCTACATAATGCTGCCCCAGTGCCCAGAATTACACCCTGACACAGAGGGGATCCCTGAATGTCTGAAAAGGACAACATCTAAGAGCTGCACTTCTTACTGGAGACATTCAAAGATGAACTGGCACCTGGCCCCTGGCAGAAGGGGATCCCATTATCCATTACAGAGTAACGGACACTACAATAAATGATAAACAGATCTAAATTTTACTGAAATTTTACTGAAACCCCTAGCAATGAGGGTAAGGACCACAGCAAAGCTTTCTAC